TACTTTTGTAGGCCTGTGTTATTTTAGAATGTTCTTTAAGACCATAAACTCTATCACTATATAATCCTGACTGAAATCTCTAAAAATTTTTGAATATTCAGAATAGATTCAGGACTTTTGAACGAAAAATATTACCGGATTCTTATAAAGTTTCATTAATTGGCTTTTAAATTTATAAAATCGGCGCCACCGTTTCTGATTACAAAAAACATCAACAGCAAAAGGTCAAGTTTTGGTTCAAAATTCTGTCTTTCTGTTACTCGACTCATTACGATAACAGCATTAGACGTAAGAAATGTATTATTTAACGCATTCATCTCATTTGAATTCCAAATACATCTTCCGGTCTCACTTTTATTTGGTCTAAAGACCGTTGCTTCCTCTGCACGTCGTACGAGCGCCTCCTGGCAAACAGACCAGTAATCTTGTCCGCCAAAGCTGGACAGCGTGGCGGTGCGTCGAACATGAGGAATGGTGGAATGACACCACCAATCACTTAATCACATTTTCACATATTTTTTATCACAAATCAGTTATTTCCAAGTAAACTTCAAGGATGTATTGTGATAAATTTTAACTCTTTTTAACTTTTATATACCACACATTGATTTAATTGGTTAAGGAAATGCGAATCGCCAGGGCTGCGTAAAATAAATATCAATAAATATTTTTTTAAACATATAATTATTTTTCAATCATCATTAATTTATATTACTCTATAATTAACATTGCTATATAACAAATTTTGTAATAGGAATTCAATTAAAATTTAATTTATTTTGAATGAGTCAGGAATGCAATATTAATTGTTCAAACGATATTTCAATTCTTTTAGAGTTTGCATACTCATACATATGTTATACTAATTCGCAAATTCATGATAAGAAATATGAAGCTCTCATACCATGCAGAAAACTAATCCACATAGCATTAGTTTAACAAACTAATACAAATAGCATTGATAATAACAATAGCGACTACAATAACAATTATAATCATTCGAATAACAATAATATTAATTATTATTATTATTATATTGAAAATAACATTCATAATTTAATTAAAATTTGTTATATTATGTTGTAAATGAAATTAATAAAAAAAAATTGCAAAATATTTGATGTGTAGACTTCAGTAATATTTGCATTTAAGAATGTGATGATTATAAATAATAGAAATATCGATAAGAAGTTAGTTTGTTGTTTATAAAAAGTTAGGAATTTACTTGTTAGTCATCTATAACAATTACAAGAATTTTATTTTTACGTGTCTTTGGGAACATATATCTTCCACTATATTTCTATAATAATTGCGCGAGTATCGTGTACTTCAGATGATTCTCTTTAAAATGTACAAATTAATTTTAATGAAACAAAGTATTCATTATCAAATGGATAAACTATTAAGAGGTTTTTAATTCGATCGTGCTAAATTTTTCTACCTATTACAATTTCAAATACGTGCAGTGTTTCAATTATATTATATGAATGAATTCCAAGAAAAAATGTCTTCACGAAGCGAATTATATCGTAGAAAATAAAACTGCAATTTAAATCAAGTTTAAACAATTTGAACAATGCCATATTATATCAATGTTATCACTCGACTAGTCAAGGAGGTACATTTATAAATGCAGACACATCATGGTCTATCATTGATGTTCATCTTTGATATTAGGAAAATGGCAGAACAATGAACGTCTCAAAGTGATTAGAATAATCTATTAAATTTCGAATGATATCATTGCCGTTTACAGCTGATGAAAATGTAATGAATGAATTATAAAATCAGATTTTCTGGCGAAAGCATAAACTTCTTCAATATAGTGAATTTAATTCATTTAAATAAATATCGAACAAATGTAATAATGTATTAAAGTTTTAATGCATTTTGTCAAAACGATTTAACGATTCATTTAATTTTTCTAATTTACTTAATAAGAAATCTAGTAATTATTATTATATAAATATCACAATCAGTAAATGTATTTCTAAAAATACATATTTATAATCATAGTCGTTCCAATTTTAATTTACATTCATCATATCTTCAATGAACAACGGCTTTGTCACTATATCAATAGAAGAAACATACAAACAATATTACAAAAACAGGTCACAGTTGATTAAAATTTAACGGTGCTCTACATTGTGTATTTGCTTATTCCTAATAAGGAGAAAATGAAAATGCTCTTGTTATCGAAAGATATACAATTTCTGCAAACCAATAAACTAAAAGCATGGTTTAATAGTAAACATTAATTTGTAAAATTAGTGAATATAAATAACATTTGTTCATTTCAGTTGTCGAAAACTGACTTATATTCTCTACTATTCACAAAATAAATAAGAGAAATATAATAAACAAAATTTTTAGAAAGCTCGTAGAATATGAAATAAATATCCCAAAAAATATTTTAGGTAATATATAAAGGTCATACTTTGTGAGTTATTAAATTACAATCTGTCTTTATAGAAAAAAAGTTAAGTAATTTTGAAGTTTTTAAAGGTTACGCATTAGTAAGCCTTTTCGATTTTGATGAATTCTATTTAATTGTACAGTGAAAACAAAAATTATTATATTTAATATTTGAGTTTAAGAATGCCTTGAGTGCTCTAATCTTTATAGAGAACGATAGGGATTTTTTTAAAAAAAAAACAAGAACGAAATGTGTCCTTCGATTAAAAAAATATGCAATCTCTATATATAATACAACAACAAACTTTAAATATCTTATAAAATTATCATATATTAGTAACTATCTAACTGCCTAAGTAAATATCTAACTAGCTACTACAATACATTCATTATAACGACAAATACCACTGTTGTTGAATTTATTCATAAAAATATGAGAATAACAATCGCGTGAAAACAAAAAATATGGAGAGTGAGCACATGTCTCTAGATTAATTATTATTACTTTATAAGTAGAAGTATTTTATAATTTGTACATATTAGTATAAAATATACTTTCTCAATTATAATCATATTTTAAACAAAAACAAAATCTTACGTCCTATAAGCTTTTGGACTAAAACTTTCAGATGGTAACTAAACGGGTGAGCCACCCAGCCTTATTATACAGTTTCATATCAAAGAAAGAAGATTCAAGTAAAAGGGACTATTGCCTAAATTATTTAAACCAGTCACCTATTTAGTTTAATTACTAACACAGACTATTATTGGATGCTATTTTTTTTTTTAGATAATCCATTTTGTGACCAGGATACTAAATACATACCCCAAATTTAAAAAAAAATGTTAATAAATTTAAATTATATAATTGTATTAATAATTGTATAAATAAAACACTGGATAATAGCAGATTATTGAATTTTTTAATATCTATCTATTATCGTAAAAAAGATATAAATTGATCATTCATCAAAAGCAAAATTTCTCACACATGTAATTTATCGTACAGCCAAATTCATATTGGGACGAATACAAAAAGAATTATTCAATTTTTGGAGAAAAAAATTTAATTCAGCATATATCAAAACTAAAAGTGTGCAAGAAATATCTCATATGGCCCGTTGCTGCAAGTTGGACAGATAAACTACTATCTGTCTGAGTGCATAGTTATTACAATGGAATGCAGTTTATAAGTAGATGCAGTGTACAACATCACAATATACATTGTTCTCCAGTCATAAGACAGTGTCTGTCGACAGACTTTTTATGTGAATAAATCAAATCTATCTGAAAATGTGTATAATAAAAACGTTGGCAATTAGCAAATTGTTTCCGTCATGCGATGTTACAATAGAGTCATTTATTTGCTTACCAAATACAACAGCGGTTGTTTGATTGCTGGGGCATGTTTTATACAACGCGTCAATGTGGAAATGTGACAAGCCTTTCACTCGATTTAT